CCCTTTTCCGATATTGGTTTAACAAACATCAGTCCATCTCCCGGGCATCATTCAAATTTCAAGAAGAACAATTCAGTGCCTATGTGCCGGAAGAAACTGGTTACGCTCCGGCCGGGATTCGAACCCCTGCCAGACCCGACTTACTATCCAGCCGCCAGGAACGGAGACCACTGAGCCATCACGGCATCTGCCGTCCGACCTGCGCAACACGAGTCTGCTCATTCCTTCAACTGAGTGTCGCTTTGCGGGCTTGGACGATTTTCAGTCCGGGCAAATACACTTAGGCGCACACCTTCGTAAATCGTTTCCACTACGTCATTCAAAAATTCGTAGAAATTCCCCAACAAACCCTCTCTGTTGTGACGATTGGAGGGAGTTCGGTTGCCTCATTGAAATTTTTGGGATGCACCACTCAAACACGTTTCGTGTCGAGGAAGAAACCGTTTGGACATTTACATAAAAATGTTTGTTGCTTGGAACCAAACCTTTCGTAGACTGCTAACGGGTCGGATCGATCAAATGAACTTCAGTGCCAGCATCTTAACATTTTTCTCAGTGTGCAGATCAGAGAGAGAGGCTGCAGCAGAGGCGGCCGAACGTCGCCAGTCTCTCGTCACGTCAGCGTCGTCACACGCCACACGCCGTCACGAGACGCGTCCGCACGTCCCGCTTCGACCTTCCTTCGTCGCGCCGGTCCGGACCAGCCCGGTCATTAAAGCTTTATCTCCTCATCTTTGTTTCATAAAAGGCGCGATTGACTTGGAGGTTTGTTTGTCGGAAAGCCGTCGGTATCACGTCGAATCCAGACAAGTATGGTTGATGTTGGGTATGACAGGGCGGGGGGAAGATGGGATATTCCACCTTAAACTACACAACCAGATTACCTATTTAGCGCCGATCTAGACTGCAGCAGGTGTGGTTGAAGACCAGCCACTGCCGGGCAGGCTAGTGCGAGAGAGGGAGGTTTGTAAAACACCTGTTGTGCTCCACATGCCCCTCTCTCCACCCCCCGTCCCAGCCGTGTCTCCATGCCCGCCCGGGGCCAGTCTTCGCGCTGCGTTACATATACCGGACCGAATTGCAACTGGTCCATTGGGGGCCCAACCGGCTCTGCCCCCCTCCACCCCCCTCCGCCACGCCCCGTCGTAAAAGTGCCCCGCATACTCCTCAACTCCGCACCCGAGAGCGGCCGCTCCATCTCGTGTCGTCGCTCCGCGCCTGGCCGCCTG